TTTACTTCTTTAGTATTTAATTCTGCTCTAAAAAAGTAAGCTTATACAAATGAGCAAGACAAACAGACTCATGGACACAAACAACAGTTTAGTGGTTACCAGAGAGAAAGCGGGGAATGTAGATCAGAGTAAAGAGAATCAAATATATGGTGATAGAAGGAAATTTAACTTTGGGTGGTGAATACACAACGCAATGAAATTTTATAGATTTCACACATACAATTCCATAATACATCATATGTATATTGTATTGTGACCAAAGCGATTTAAATGTTAAGCATCCTATTCACCAGGCAAATACTATGTAATACCATCAATACGAAAATTATGAAGACAGACCCTGGTTTGTGACTTACATGCGAGGACTCGAATTTCTAGACTCTGGGCTAAGTGAAATAATGGCAATAAGCCCAAGGTGCTAAAGGAGCTCTAGGTCAGAGGGGAAGGAAGACTTAAGATTTACAGGTAAAGTCATGAGAAGCAAGGCAAACAGCACAGACTGTCACAAGCACTGTGTATAGCTTGAACCAAGTGTGGCAGGACATGGGAGGAGAGGTGGACCACATCAGATCTTGGTGGGCCTTGATGCTATCTGTGCTATGCTGTTGAATAAATTGACACTTTCTTCTTAGGTGAAACTGAAGGAGGGATTCAAATAATTGTCATGTTAATACAATAGCCTGCCCGCCTTCCATTATAAAACAAACTATTAAAGTGGCCCAGCCCATCATGGAGTGTTCATTAATAGTCTGTTCCTGTACAGATCCTGAGAGGTTGTGAATCAGGTCCCACATGGAAATAACGTCTGCGAGGCCTATTAAACGTGTCCGTGAAAGTATAGATAGATTTGTTGGTCACATTATAAAATGAGATCTCACTCATCTCATAGTCCAGAAAAATGCCAACGCGTGTGGGTTTCACTTCTGACAGTAGAGGGGTTGTACCAGCCCTTGGGGCATCATAACTGTCTTCCTGCCGCCGAATCCTCCAGCTTCCCTGCCAGGCTGATGGGCTTCTCCTCACCTTGGTGGAAAGAGAGTCTTTGCAAACCCCGATAGCCCATTTGGATTTGTCTCCCACTTCTACCTCCCAGAAATGCCTGCCAGAATGAAAATATGGAAAACGCAGGACAACTGTGTTGACTGTAAATCTTTTTAGAAAATCAGGAACGTTTTGTTTTCTCTTTGTAAACCTCACACATTTCTTATCCGCAGAGACAATCGAGTTCGGGTGCGCTGTTTCAGGGTCCAGAATTATATCTGTTCTAAATTTCTTTTTAATTTTCCGCAAAGCTGAATACTGGGAAGGAAAACTGCAGCCTTCTCTCCTTAGCGGAACTGAAAAGATGGATGGGCTAAACCCTTCAGAGTCCTTGTAGGAATTTTTAGTTTGTGAGAGCAGTTCCACAGCAGCACACTGGGCTCGACTGCGTTACTTAGTAGGCCTTTGAGTGTGGCATTGTAGTCTGAAAATGTGCTTATATTAGCACTGAGTTTCTTTTGAATAGTCTTTTCTTCAGCAGCTAACCTTGAGAGAACTAGCTTGATCACATTCTAAAAACTGCTTCAGATGCTCAAATTCAGAGAATGAGTCCTGCCTTTGTTTTTCTACCATCTCTCTCAGTTCTAAGAGTTTTTTTGCTCTCAGTACTTATTAATTTCTACATGTATGCACCTGCATGCTCAGGGCCTCCAGGTAACCGCTGAACCTTTGCCTGTGATGGGAGGCAGCTTCCTCGGTGGGTCTCACCTGGTGGCCCTGGTGGTCAGGGGGCTGAGTACACAGGGGACACAGCACCTCCAAGTCCTCTTCACAGAAGAGGGTCAGGACCCGGTTGTGCTTCTCAAACAGGCGCCTGTCTTCCCGCCTCTTCCTCTGGCTCCTGGTGATCTGGAGGAGCCTGGTGATGTCGACCATCCTTCCCAGCTGGGTGTTGCTCCTCGGGTGCCTCTCTTGGCATGGGTGACGGCACATGGGGCAAGGGAACCTATCCCATAGGTCGGCCCAGTACTGCTGGATGCAGGAACAGCAGAAGTTGTGCCCACATTCGATGGTGACGGGGTCTCTCAGGTCATCCAGGCAGATGGGACAGTTGACCTCCACCTGGAGTCCTACCAGGGCTGCTGCAACCACCATTGGGCCCTGAATGAAGGACTGGACTGAGATGAGTTCTTCAGGAAGCTGGGTTCTGTAGTGTGAAGTGGACACACCGTCAAACCTCAGTCCTCACTTTGCTGGTAGCCTATTAAGTCCTGTGAGTCTTCAGAACTTTTAATCCCAGCTGCTAAGGGCAGCCTTTCCCACAGCCTGCAGCCAGTCACAATTCAGCTGGACAAATACTCCTCCAGCTTTTGGAAGCTCAGAGAAAAATCAAACCAAACAGCTACCTTGGTCCGAAGAACAGTCGTTACCTCAAATCATTAGTTGCTGTGGGTGAGAAGTTATTTCCTCCTTAAAACAACAACAGCAGCAACAAAACCCTGGGTTTATTTCAAATGGCCCTACCCACTACTACATTCCCGCCAAACACATTATCCTCTTCTAACCCCAATCTTTCCCATGCCTTTGTTATCATGCCCTATATACTCCCGTCCACTTGGTATCACCATCCCTGCATCCCATCATCTTCCCATTCACCCCACCTGGGGCTGTGGAAAACACATAGGCTCTGGGACAGATGGATGTACCACACCCAAATTAGAACAGAGCCTTGGTCATCTATCCATGTAACTTGAGAGAATTGATCTTACATCCTGAAGGGGTTCAAAACATGCCACCCCAAAATATGCCATTTTATATTTTGGATGTGGACATTTTGAACTCAAGCCAATCAAGACCCAGAAGACTCAAGAAAAGCTCTTGAGCACTTAACTGCCCACCCCCAAACGAATAAATTTCCTAATTTGTGAGGGAAATCAGCAATTATATAGGAAATCTCCATTAGAAAGGGGACTGGTTGCAGGAGGAGAGCACTTACCAGAGACAACTTTTTGACCTGAGACTTACCTGCAGTCAGGACAACCTTTGTTTACCAAACATTTTCTCCTCTTACCTTCCAGTGAATTGTCTCTCCCAACCCCAGAAGCCCCAGACCTCTAGCCATTTCCTTGCTTCAGGATGGTATAGAGGTCTCACTTGTCTGGCCACCTTTTGATTCTCAAATCCTGTGAAATTCCTGCATGTAAAAAACAAAATTAAAATGGTTTTTCTCTCTTGTTAATCTATTTTATGTCAACTCTTAAACCAGACACAGAAGCCAGAAGAGCAGAAGGGAAAATTTTTCCTCCTCTACAATCCCAAACTCTTAGAATCGGGTATATAAAAATAATATCACAATAAATTTTTGTCTTAGGAGAATATAGAAGCTGAGGAAACCCCCTCCCCATCAGCTTTGAGCCTTGAAACATAGTATTTATGATGGCTTAGAATTCCACTTACCAAATTTAGTCTACTTTTTTCATCCTTGCTCCTCTACAGTATATGGGAGGAAATATAATTTTTCTTCTACCCTCCTTGGCTGAGAATTGTCTGTAATAAAAGACAGATTAAAAGAAAAAAACAAGTTTAATAATATGTTCCCAGGAGAACTGAGTAACTCCACAAAATGGCCTAAGGCATCACCTTAAATATCATCCTCAGCCAAAAAAAGAAAGATGGTGGGGTTAGGGTGGGGGCGGGGCAGGCAGTTAGTTGTGGGAGGTTATGGGCAAAGCAGAGTAAAAAAGGTGAGGTCTTTAGATTTAAATCCCTGCTTTCTTCCTCAGTAAAGAGTTTCTACAGCTTTAGTCTACCTCTTCCTGGTACAGAGGGAAATGACACCTTTACAAATGGAGATTTCCCTTATAAATGCAAATTTCCCTCACAAAAGGGCAACTTCTCACTGTTTTCAGAGATTCTGCCACAACAGCAGCCCTTGAAAAATAATCAGCCCCAAATAATCCTCATGCCAAAAAGGTATATATTTTGGAGAGTCATATCCTGCTCCCCTTCGACAGCTCAGTGTGCCACAAATCTATATGTAAAATGAGATCCAGAAAAAAAAGTTAAAAACATTAATTTAATGTAAATAAAACAAGGAAAAATATGTTCAGTATTTACTAGTAAAATATCATCTCTAAACAAAGAATACCTACAAGAAAGTAAACCAGAAAAAACCTGAACTCCCATGTAGAAAAAGCAGAGAAGCAACAGCTATGGAAAAATGCATAAATTTATTAATCTAAGAATTACAAATCTGCCCTTTTAGTATAATTTTACTGTCTGTACTGGTAAGATTGAAAAAATTGATACTACCCTGTTTTGGCTTTGGAAGGTAGATATTCCAGCACTGTACACATGAAATAGAAACTTTTTTAAAAGAAAGCAGCACTGAACTATCCATCAAAAATTGAAAAATCTTTGCTCTGCCCTTGTAATTCCACTAATTCAAAAAAAAAAAAAAGTTAAAAACAAGAAAACAGGCTCAAGAAGTTGCTTGTGCTAAGCCCATGTAACTAAACCGAGAGGTAATTAGTTTCAGCTTTCTCAGAAATGGAATATTAAACCAGTCAATCAGGAATTGCCTGATAGACACTGGCCATCCCCTAAAGCAGGGGTCTCCAACCCCCGGGGCTGCGGACCCATACCGGTCTGTGGCCTGTTAGGAACCGGGCTGCACAGCAAGAGGTGAGCAGCAGGCAAGCGAGCCAAAGCTTTATCTGTGTTTGCAGCTGCTCCCCAGTGCTAGCATCACCCTCAGCTCCACCTCAGATCATCAAGCATTAGGTCTCATAGAAGCACTGGTCCCTGGTGCCAAAAAGGTTGAGGACCGCTGCCCTAAAGGAAAGTAACCTTGCAATAACCAACCTGCGTTTTTGTTTTTGACTATAGCTTTCCAGCTGCCTTCTGCCTATAAAAACTTTTCATTTTGTACGGCATCTCGGAGCTCCTTTCTCTCTGCTTGACTGGATGCTGCCTGTTGAATCGTTGAATAAAGACAATAGATCTTTAAAATTTACTCAGTTAAATTTTTTTAACACGCATAGAACTTGAACAGATATTCAAAAATATATACAAAAAAAGGAAGAAAAAAGATGTACAAAGATGTTCCCTTCAGCACTGATTTAAACTTCAAAAAAGTGGAAACATCATTTGTCGGTATTGACTGAATAAACTATGTACGTGTAAAATATATTCTGTTTAAGAGACTATCAGCAGATTTTAAAGAAAGACGGTAGCACCAATTGTGTTAATATAGAAAGAGGCACACAACATACTGTAGATGGAAAAAAGCTGGTAACTTCCCAAATCCAGTCCCAGCTGTTATCTCTTCCCTGTAGACCACTGAACTACAGTATTCAGAATTTTGTATTTTAGGTTCCGAATATGCCACATAGATTGTGTTTTATGCAAACATTCATAGAATGATCTGGGGAAGCACTTCTTAATTAAACACAGTAATCATTACGGAGCAGAATGTGTGTGTCTTCAAACCAAATGAGATAATTAAAGACTATAAAAAGCTTCATGTCAGGTGATGTTTTGCCAAATACGTTTTGCACAAATTTATCAAAAACATGTTTTTCAGCTGTTTGGATTTCAGACTGGTGAACTCTGTCAGATGACCCTGTGACCTGGGACTATCACCCACCAGGCCCCCGCCACTCCTGCCTCTGCTTACACAGGTTTTTCCAGGTCCTTCACTGAGCCCAAGAGACTTCCCACTGCCTATCCCTTATGTGGCACCAAGCCCACTCTAGGCTAGCTTCAGTCTCAGTTATTCCTTCATTTTCTCCAGGTTGATCTACCTCTGGCCCCAGAGCTTTTTTTGGAGGGGAAGGTGGGGGTGAGTAGAAAACATCTTTATTTCCATTGGTCTTAAACACTTCTCTATACTCATTACAAAACAAGTGTAACTTCCATTCACTGATATAACCCTGTTCTCTCAAGGCAGCTTGCAAGTTCTATTCTTTTTGTTTAATTGAGTTATAACTGACACCAGGGTATTTGAATACTACACACCTGGAGTCTAGCAAAGCTCTGGCCCGGGCATCAGTCTCCTTCCTCACCTCCTCCTCTTCCTTTGGATCTCACGCATCCCCGGTGGCCTCATCATCCAGTTTCAAGGTTCAGTAGCACATACATCTCCCTCTATAAAACTTAATCACTGTAGTGATTTTCTTCTAGGTTAAGATTTGCATTCAGAGTAACCACCAAAACAGTGAGACTGTATAATAGTGAGACCCCTTTCTTATAATTGATCCTTAAGCACCCAGCTCAGAGCTAGCACCTAGTAGGAACTCATTAAATATGTATTGAATTAGATCCTGGTGCTCCCTCACAAGTTCCGAGGCTTTGGGTAGGCTACTTAACCTCTCTGAGTCTGCCCTCTGTAGGAAGGCAGACTTCCTTAGATTAAGGAAGATCAAGGCCATACAGGGCCTGAGAGTCAGTGATATCGATGCTGCATAGTCCTCATCCTTCCCCTCCCTGAGCCATCCTGGGAGGAGATTCCATGCTCCACTTCAGACCAGCACCACTGGGAGCCTTGTCACACACAGATATTAGTTCCCCTTTAGGATGGAGTGGGAATCTAGTTATTTGTTTCTTTTTATCAAACATTTCAGGTGATTCTGGACAAGGCTCTTTGAGATACCAGGAACCATAATACACGGGATGTGTTTTGAAATAAGCCAAACCTGAGTTTGGATTGCCTGGAGAAGCGCTCTCTCTCTCTCAGGGGGAACCAAGTACTTCCTGAGGAGGCCAACCCTTGCCGCCTGCTACCCCCACCCCCCACCACGTTCCAGCCTCCTCCTGCACCCACATCCTGCCATCTCCCTGCTTAACTGGAACAGGGGAGCTCTGCAATAGATCCCTTATCAGCGCGCGCGCGCGCACACACACACACACACACACACACACGGGTGTGTGGGTGGGTGCCACTGTGAGGACCCCACCCAGAGGCTCCTCCTGGAAGTGGGAGGTGCGGGAGAGAGAGAGGGATGAGAGTTTTCCTGTAATTATAGTAAGCACTTAGGTGTCCCTGTCCTGGATCTAAGAACTTTGGAGTCTACTAACAACTGTGTAGGACTGTTTCTGTTATTGTTTGCATTTTTTTAGATGAGCAAACCAAGGAACAAAGAGGTGGAGAAAGT